AAAGAAAGAAAGAAAGAAAGAAAATTCTGAGGCCTAAAGCTGAAATTGATTTGCCCAAGGTCATACAACAAATGATTAGTAACACTGAGATGGAACCACAGTAGCTCACATGGGCGGAGCTATATCTTACCCACAGTCCATAGCCATGGTCACCATGAATGAGCCACCAAAGGCATGGAGGCTCTGGCGTTGACTTCACAACTTAAGGGATGGAACGGGAAAGTATAGATAATTTCACCCAGATCTGTCATCCCTCTTGAAGAAGAAAGAGAAGTCATTCTACTGCAGGTCTCCTTAACTTTGGGTCCAAGTGCCACCTCTCTGCACAAAGAGCCTTTCACAAAGTACCATAAGCATTCCAATCCAAGGTTAGTTGGCATTTAGGAAAACAAAACAAAAAACCTAACATTTCAAATTCTTTGTGTTAAAATGAGTACATCACACATCACTACATGTCTGGAAGGTACTATTAGGTCCTCAGTTTAGCTGTATTTCAATAATGAATTCATGCTGTCTTCTAGCTTAGAGACTGACTAAAAATCTCTAGGCTCAACCACCTCCTTTTCTTCTGAAGAAACCAAAACTCAGAGAACAGTGGGAAAGAGCTCAGTCCCGGGTCACCTCCACTGCTCCTCTCAGGTGGCCATTTTGTTAAGTTTATCTAGAATTCCTGTTGGCGTGATGGGAACCCAGAATTCAATTAAAGATATCTTATGTTTATTTTTCTAAAAACCCTAATTTGTAGAAAGAAGGCTGAAACACACATCTGTGTTTTCCTAGGCCAGTGTATTTAGCTTCTCTCATTTTGCTTTAGTGAAGTGTTTCCTCTGCTGAGAGGCAGTGACTCCTGATGACCTCAGCTTTCCAATAATCAGGTCCCAGTAATAAGCTCCAGTCAGTAGGTGAAACTCAGAACAGGCATTTAAGAAAGTGTTCTTGGGCCCACAGTGATGATGCTGTTTCTCTGCTTTTGCAAGCAAATTGGTGAAGGTGTCAAAACACTTTGTAATGAATGACTTGTTAACTACGGTTGTTTAGATACATATGCATATTTAATGTTATGCAATATTACTATGCAATGTAGTTTAATAATAATATTTAAATAAATATTTTTAAGATCACAACACACAAATTCCTCTGAAGTATTGATTTATTCTAGCCTTTGAAAAGGTAGGAAGTAGGAGAAATACAGAAGCCCTCTACTTTATTAGGACAAAGTCTGGGTCTAGTTAACTTGGGAACTCTCCTTCTTCAGGGAGGACTTGGCAATCCAGTTACATTTAATTATTATTATAGGGCTGGAGAGATAGATCAGAGATCAAAGCACTTGTTTGGCGAGCCCAAGGACCTGAGCTGGATTCCAGGTACCTTACACTGTGCCAGCCCTGCACTGAGCCAGCCACCAAAACAGGGTGTGGTGCCACACACCTGTAATCCCAGTGTGGGGAAGGCTGAGACAGAAGGATCACAATGAGTCCAAGGTGTGTAGTGAGACCATATACCAAATCAATAAATGAATAAAATATTTTTTAAAAATTTATTTATTAAGGGCTGGCCAGATAGCTCAGCAGAATAAAGCACTCTTCTTAGGAAGGCATAGGGACTGGGGTTCAATCCCCAGCATGCCTTGCCAGCCCTGCCCCCAGGGCATACTGAGATGGCGATTGAGACTGGGCATGGTGGCGGGCAACCTATAACTCCAGCGCTTGGGAGGCTGAACACAGGCGGATTACTATGAGTCTGATCTTCATAGTGAGACCCTGTAGACCTTTACTAAAAAATACAAAAATAATAGTAATAAGCAAGTCAAGATGCAGAAATCTTACATGACACAAGAAAGTTTGTGAGGAGGAACAAACTGTTTCTGGGTGTCCAATTCCAAATGAACTTCTAAATGTAGTCCACACAGGAATGCAGCACTTAACCTTGGCACGATCATTGCATGAGAACTTCCCGGGAGCAGGGGGAAGTTCTTTGCATGCAATAACTTGCTCTGTGTTTCCAAATTACCTAGCTGTGTTCATAGAGTATTCTTCATTTATTTCTGTAAAGTTCAATTCTTAGGATACTGAGGACCAAAAACAAACTATCACGCTACATGGAGATTCAGGTAACGCGTAATAAATTACAAACTCTGAACATTAAGAAAAGATAACACTGACTACAAGCTATAGGATTGTTTCACTCTATTCATCCTTGCATGAGTTTTCTGATTATTCTATTGATTT